CACTTCCGGCTTTTTTCTTTTTGCTTATGTGGTGCTGAGGAATTGAACCCAGGGCCTCATGCATGCAAGGCAAATGCTCTACCACTGAGCCACCTTCCCAGCTCTAAAAAAACTGAAAAATTTTTAAATTTTACTGTATTATTAATTTTTGTGCCAGTCCTGGGACTTGAATTCAGAGCCTGGGCCTTATCCCTGAGATTTTTTTTTCTTTTTTCTTCTTTTTTTATTGTAAAGATGCTGTACAGAGGGGTTACAGTTACATGAATAAAGTAATGAATACATTTCTTGTTGAACATTGTTACCCACACCTTTGTTTTTCTCTCACTATCCCTTCCTTCCTCAAATGCTATCTTTTAATGGAAAAATCTCTTTGCTTTGCAATAATAAAATATTTTTGAAAGGGAAATTTTGAATGAAGCAATTACTGATGGATAGAGTTTATCCAATGTAATGCTTTTCTTTCTTTCTTTTTTTTTTTTTTTTGTCTCCTTCTTTTTGTGGTCCTAGGATTTGAATTTGCTTAATGGGCAGACATTCTTACTCTGAGCTTACCTCCAACTCTGACTTTGCTTGTTATTTTTTGAGGCTCAGGCACAAAGGTTCCATGCAATAGTCTTCCTGTCTAGCTAGTATAAAAGATATGGACCACTGTGTCCAGCTCTCCACTGAGAAGGTGGTCTCACAAACTTTTCTGCCTGCCTCAGGCCTGCCAAACTCAGCCACCTAAGTACCCAGCATTAGCTTTGAAACTCTGGCACCTGGCTTAACTATTCTTTTCATGTCTGTGATTATCCTACTGTACAATAGGATATCTGTTGTATTGGATCTGTGGCAATACGGTTTCATGGAAACCATAGTTGAGAAAAAGCGGAATTCTCAGGATGTATAGAGTTCAGTAACTATACGTACAAATTTTAATACTGTATATACAGGAAGTCTGTACCTTCATGGCTTGAAACTGCATGGAGTAGGATACATCATTGTCACAGAAATTTCTGTTGTACACATTAATACTGCTTGCCAAGTGTCCTTTACTTTAAAAACTGTGAATTCTTAATCATTTTCCTATAATACCACCTTTCAACAGATGTAAAATTTTCACTCTATATCATTTAAATCAGGCACATTACTTGCCTTTGTGGCTTGAGATGATTACTGTAACTTTTACTGTATAAGCATCTTTGGCTTTTTTTTTTTTTTTTTTTTGTCATGGGGCTTGAACTTGGCCTAGGCACTGTCCCTGAGCTCTTCAGCACAAGGCTAGTGCTCTTCCACTTGAGCCACACCACTTCCGGTTTTCTTGTGGCTTTTTGGAGATAAGTCTCATGGCCTTGACTGCCCGGGCTGGCTTCAAACTGTGATCCTCAGATATCAGCCTACTGAGTAGGTAGTATTACAGGCTTGACCCTGTGACCATTTGCTTTTTTTGGGGAGCAGATTTTCACAGAATTTTGGGCAGGAAAACAGCAGATTATGTAACAGTTTAAGCACAATTGATGATAATTTGAGAGTTTTTCTAAGTCAACTGAGCTATGTAATGCACATGTGGGAATTTAAAATTTTTGTTTTTGAAATTGGTTTTGCTTTTCAAAATTACTGTTTGACTGTGCTTAATCAAAATTGCATGTGATAAGTTTACAAATGAAACTGTGATTATAATCACAAGAAAAATTCCCTAGAATCTTTTTGTTCTCTGTTGTTTAATATCTCCAGAGCTCTGCCAATACTTTCATGGGTATATTGACATATTGTATATTTCAGTCATTATTTTACCTCTTTTATTAGATGAATTGTAATAGAATTGAGGGACTTTGAACCTTTAAGTCAGGCCTGGTGACTCACACCTGTAATCCCAGAAAACACTTTACAACAAAGTAAATCTCAAAATGTTGAGGATAAAGTGGGATTTTTTTTTCTTCCAGTCCTGGGGCTTGAAGTCAGAGCCTGTACACTGTCCCTACACTTCTTTTGCTCAAGGCTAACACTCTACCATTTGAGCCAAAGCACCACTTCTGGCTTTTTCTGTGTATGTGGTACTGAGGAATCGAATCCAGGGCTTCATGCATGGTAGGCAAACACTCTACCACTAAGCCACCTTCCCAGCCCCAGGATATTTTATGTTTAAGAAATTATTTGCTGGTGGTTCATGCCTCAAAGTCTAGCTACTCAGGAGGCTGAAATCTGAGGATCAAGATTCAAAGTCAGCCTGGGCAGCAAAGTCCACGACACTTATCTCCAATTAACTATTAAAAAGCTGGAAATTAAGCCGGGCGCTGGTGGCTCACGCCTGTAATCCTAGCTACTCAGGAGGCTGAGATCTGAGGATCGTGGTTCAAAGCCAGCCCGGGCAGGAGAGACCGTGAGACTCCTATCTCCAATAAACCACCACAAAACCGGAAGTGGCGCTGTAGCTCAAGTGGTAGAGCG